AATAGTCATTTCATTAAGGGATAGCTCTTCAAAAGGAGCGTTAAAACAAATCAAGTCTGTGCAGACAGACAAACAAGCTATTAAATCCACTTATTAATCAGGCTCCACTGAACCATAATTAAACCTCATAACATATAAACCCTCAATATGTGGTCTTATTAAAAACTATACCGACAGGAATATTCTAAACATCAATAAGAATGAACAAACAAACACATAAAACCACTTCTTTAAATAAGTCATGTCTGGGTCACTGCTATGAAGGAAAAGTAAACAAATTCGGCTTTTTGAAAATATTTCCAGCTATGGAAATTGAAATCATGGTGTGGAAACTAAAGAAGAGCTTTCCATTACATATATAAAGATAACACTACTTAAATGCAAGATTGGGAAAGTTAAGATCAGCACGCCTATTAACCAGATGGCTGCAGGCTGTACCCAAGCAGATAGCCTGACTAATTGACTAGCTACTATCAGCATGTTTTAATCTCAGTGTTCTTCTATGAAAAGCTGCATGGCGAAAAATGTATCATCAACTTATGCATATTAAGCAAAACTATTACAAATTTTCCACTAAATTTTGTGGGAACTTTTCATTCTTATAACTTATTTCTTCTTGTTAAGAAGAAATAATAATAATAATAATAATAATAATAATAATTTATATATTTAAATAAATGTAATGGGTAAATGCCAGAGATATCGTTATTGTAAGGAAAGAATAATCGTTGTTTTTTATTTTTTATATAAAAAGCAATTTGATAAGGTTTTGATTCAACTCTCAGTGCAAAATGGTAATAGGTAAAACAACTCTGCCTATACGTGGCTGTCTCCCACCAGACCACAAATAAATATAATTCCTCATCTATAAAATGATCTGGTTTTCAGTTTTAGTTCACTCAATAGGTTTTTTGACCTTTTTTTTTCACCTTATGAGACAACTCAAATTTATTCAATTTAATCAAAGTTGGAAGCAAACCAGAATATTAAAATTCCTAGGCCAAGTTACATATCCTTCAATTCAGTTTAATTTGCATCCTACAATTTTTTTATCTCAGACAGTAGGACTAAACCATGCAACTCCAATCATCTCATTGGTTAGCAAAGAATTGCTTGCTTTTATTTTAAAACGGCAGCTTAGTGGGATGAACCAGGGATGACATTGGAGACCAAATAAATCACACATGATCTTAGTATTTGTGACTCCCTTGATTCATTCATTCATGTCAAGCAGAACCCTCCTGAAAACCTGCCCCTTCCAACTTTAACAGGAATAAATGTGTCTCCTTGACTTTATAAAGTTAAAGAGAGGTTGGTATGAAAAATTCGACCTTACTTATCTTTGTTGCCATTTGTCCTCTCCGTCTGCTAAAGGGCGGCTCATTTAATATCGAGGCAGGAAGTCATTTTGGAAGGAAAATTACCCGTAGAAAACTTCTATCTCCTCAGTTCTTGACATATTTTTGCATTAAGTGACTCTATAGCAGATTGGTAAACAGCAAATTGGTAGGAAAAAAATGTCTGTGTGTAAGGTAAATTCATATAACAGCTGCTGCAGAGTGACTTGTCAAAAACAGTTCATACAGGTGCTAAATCAAATCCTGCTGGTTCTTAGAGGTCTCTAAGATGTCTCCAAAAAATATCAGGACAAAAGAAGAGAGTAAATGAAAGTTTTGATACATAAGAAAGAAAAAGGTTTGACAACAAAAACATTCTTAAACCAGATTTCCATCTGACAGAAATTACTTCAACAGTAAGTATTTCTTAGATGTTTACAAATAAAAAAAAAACAACCTGAATGTTGTAACTGTAACTATTCGGTCATATGTTTACATCACTTTTTTCACCACAGTGTTTTTTTTCCATCACAATGTTTTTATCACTTCTGCTTACCTTTTTTAAGGCTGCACTTTAAAAAATGAAAAGGTCTAGAGAGCTGTACTTTATGAAATTTCTTTTTGTGTACACTTGTGTGTACAAAATGACAAAATAAAATCTGTCTAAGTCTACATCTATTACAACCTAGAGCTCAGTTGAAAAGACAATTCGTGAAAACAGCAACAATTTACAGGAGTTTCCACCAAACCATATGACTCCAATAATAACAGATCAGGGGTGCAGAAAAGAGCCAAAGTCGTGAAAAAAAAACTGACACTGATTAGATCAGATGAATTTTAAAAAGAAAAGAGGACTGAGGGAGGGATTTGCAGAAACAGCAAAGGAAGGCAGACCAGGGCAATTAAAATGGTCCAGACAGAAAGATTCACTGACTGAAGAAGCTGAAGGTTGAGCAGCTCATCATTATGCTGACGAAGGCTGCTTTTGAAATCAGCTCAAGTCTACATAGGTCTTTACCATGAACACAATTACTACAGCTATGAAATGCCCATTGTAGTGACATTCTGGCACATCCAATAGCTCAATGTGAAACTGTTTAAATGCAGCTCCAGTCAGATGATATGTGTGTCCCTCCATCAGTTGTCTGGCCCTCCACTAAGCAGCAGAGGTCGACACTTCTGACCATGCCTTGAGCACATTACCCACGCTGCATGTCTATTTTTTTGTGTGTGGCTGTGTGTGCTTGCTCGTCCAGCTGCTGGGCAACTGATGAAGAGGTGGAGGAAGGGTCAGAGTGGGTCGCCAGAGACTTAGTGTGATCTCAGTTTTACAAGGGGACTGGGGAATGAGCAGCACAAAAGGAGGAAAGAAAAACAAAAAAAAAAAGTACTTGGAAAAGAGAAACAGCTTCTGGAAATGTGAGGGAGCTCAGGAGGAATAAATCAGGCCTTCAGCTGTCTCTTTAACACAGAGAATGATGGGCTAAGGAACAAGGTTAAGGCGCATAAGCAGAGCTGGAGCTTAGTGGCGTCTGTGCTTATGCTAATTTACACAGCAGCCAATAATCAACAGGTTTGAAAAAGAGTTTTTTTATTGAAACACAATCCCACTCAAAAATGCATACTTGCACAGAGGTATATTTAAATTGGAATCAAGTCTTTTGTAGCATACCAATACAGTACATGCCATGAAAATCAATAGCCCCTACCTGTCACCAACTACTACCCAAACCCACCCCACTCATCCCCACAGAGAGACAGGTGTGAGGCTATGAAAAGGCCAGGGTGTCTTTATATACAGCGCCTGGAAAAGGTTATTAGACATCATAAGGAACAGGCGAATGTCTGGGCCAAGAAAAAAATAAGGATTCCTGGGAGCATGGGCCAAATGGAGTGTGGATGAGGGGAGAGTCATATTATGGAGTGGCAGGCGAATGTGAGGATTTGATATAAAGGTGGATGCAGATGGGACAGCTGACATTTAACTGACATCAAAAGCTACTATAAGGCGTCTGTGCACGCACTCTGCTGTTTATGTATATAACCTGCATGTGTGTGATGAGTATGGACACTGAAGGTCGGATCAAACCAAATACACACTGTCTGGAAGCCCCTGATGTCCGGGCAATAATTTGAATATGGAGGAGTTGAAGCAGAAGGCTCAGTGACACAGGGACAAGGTGATAGGAGTGGACAGGTGTGTGTGTGTGTGTGTGTGTGTCAGCATTTTGTACAAGGACAGCTGGTGAGGCGTCAGAGGACATCAGTGACCTTCTCCTTATCCCATCATATCCTGCCGTCCCATTGTCTGCCTGCACTGATGTGTTCAAAACACACCCAATGCTGAAGGTAGGTGCAACAACAAAATGAACTACAGTGGATGAGGGGGTGTTATAGACCCCCCTGAAAGTAACTTGTTTTGATTTACACTTTCTGAATAATATCCCTATAAAACCAAGCTTGTAGCCCAACAAAGATTGAGGTACAGATAAAGGTCTGTAGCTCCTAAAAAATGTTTCTTCCTTGGTTGCACTTCCTGGTGTGGCATAAAAACGGTTTATTATGTTCCTACCTACAATGGCTCTGCCTGCTGCTAAAGCTAAATCAGGTAGCATTAGGCACAGCCTAGACAACTCTTAAGTTTTTACCAACATATCAGATTTATTAACAGTATCTGTACTCACAAAACAGAACTTTTAACACAAAGATGTTCCTCCTGTGTTTGGGAAGTCAATATGTGACTGCTGGTTATGCTGACGGCCAGACAATAATGTTAAGAAGCTTGGATCTCAGCCATCATCTTCCTTAGGGCTCTACAGTTTGAACTGTTTTCTCAGTTGAACATCTAAATGAGGGAAAATCTCCAGCAAAATGAGAAAAAGCGGCTACCATAAAAAAAAAACACAGTAGACCTACTTTCTGTTACCATTTGAAGACAACTTACTTCGTTGACCACTGCCCCAATGCAACTATTGCATTTGGCTTGAGTGAAATCTTTAAATGAATGAGACGACAGCATGGTTTCCATGACAAATGATAGTAAAGCTAATGTCAGTGTGCTGTCAGATCCAAAACTAAGGATAGGGAGGTTCCAGCAGCTCTGCAGCTAGGGTGACCAGATATAAGGACACTAATGTGGGAGAGCTAGGATGCTTATGAGGGACCGAAGCAGATTTTTCAGCTGTGCGTCTCTTCTGTGACTTATTTTGCTCCCAAGAATCAAATTTAACTGACGTCAGATTAGATTCATACCAGTTCATTTGTTGAACATTTCTCTTAAAAAGTGTTGAAAACATAGCACTTTTAAACAATTAAGGCTAAAATCAGAACATGACATTACCACTATGGGGAAAATGGGAATCAAATATTGCTTTACCTATTATTAATATTGAATAAATACATTTTATAGTAAAACAAAATCCTCTCACAGTTACAATCGGTCAGCCTGCATTTAAAATGACAAAAATCTGACTTCATAAAGATGTGATATGGTTGAAGATGAGGGAGATGTAAACATTTTGTTGCACCCAACTTAAAAAGTTACTCACAGTAAAGCAACCAGCAGAAAATTGGTGTGAAACCCTGCTGTGTAGCGGCTAACAGACAGAGAGAAGTGGGAGAGGAAATGTGTGTGAAAATCAGTGTGTGCAGTAATAGGCTTACCTTTGCTACCCTTTGCTATTAAAAAAATAGAGGAGTGGGCATCAATGATCATGGAAAAAAAGGGGAAAGAAAAAAATAATCCTTAATATTTTGAAATGGAACTTTAAAAGAAGTGAGCTAAACACACAAAATAAGAAAAAACTTACGCTTTGTTTGGGATGAGAAGGTTAAGGTAAGTTTGGCAAAGAGTTCACTGCTTTGAAATTTTTCCTCATTAGCCTTTGTCCAAAAACTGTTCTCACTTAGGTCCTCAGGTCCGATCTAAAAAGGACACGGGTCACATATACAGAGAGAAAAATGGAAAGAGAAACAATTAAAAACAGGAACAAGGATTTAAAGCCTTTACATAATCATTTCTTCAACATTCTTAAAATGTTCATCTGAGCAGCTGAAATACGATAAAACCAGTTGATAAAGAATTCAGTGGAAATAAAGAAATTGTCAGGAGTGTGATGCTAGAGAGGATGATGGATGGGAGATAAAGAGGAAACAGAGGAGAATTTCATTTTCTCTAATTACTTCACACACTTCTATAAAACAACCACAGCTCAAGTTTGAAAGAAGCTTTCCTCCACTCTCAGAATCCTTTCCCTCCCTTAGTTTTATGAGTATGTTTTCACACAAGACAAAATTAACTCAGCATGTTTTTCTTCCTTCTTCCACGTTCTAAGTTTTCACATCAGGAGGAGAAAAAACCCAGAGCAAAGGAGAAAGCACTGGTAGTAAATTTAGAGATATCAGGCCTTTCATTTTCGACAGAGCCTCAGGGATGGGCTTTAAGAGAAAAAGACAGTGAGTGAGGCAAAAGAAATGTGATATGGCAATGAGTCGAAGGAGCCAGAAAGAAAGCAAGAGTGCATTCAGGGGGGGGAGAAAAAGGAGACCCAAGCCATGAAAAAAAGGCCATTTAAATTACAAAAGAATACCATCCTTTCTAGCAGCAATTTAATTATCTTTCAGTGGCGCAGTTAAAAGAAGGAGGCTTATTAAAACTCAATTTCTGTGACATCCTTGTCAAACCCTCCTACCACCCCAACAAAGAAGGAGTGAGAAAGAGAGAGTAAATGCTGATGAAGTCTGCTTTAGCCATTAAACAGTAGCTTTAGGCTAAAGAAAGAAGGAAGGACGTTTTGATGTTTTAACCATCACAGAGGAGAGAGTGTTGAAGAACATGAAGCACATAGTCATGAGATACACGTATGCATGGAAGCTACTTTTGGTGAATATTTTACTAACAAAAGCTCCAGCTTACATTTTAGCTCCAACAGAAGCTCCCTTAAAATAAAAGCTGCACTCTTCAACAATGTTCTAATTAAACTCAAGGCTGCTAAATGGTTCATATAAGTTTATTAACTATTTTCTGTCAGCACTGACCTTACTCCAGTTGGCTCTCTTCAACTGGACCTCTGGTTTGTATTCTTTTTTAGGCTGGAGCCCAAAAGGTAGTGCAGGTGGTGCAGGAACTCCAAAGCCTGGTGGAGGTGGAGGCACACCTGGTCCAGGTGGTGGAGGAGGAACACCAGGAAGTGGTGGTGGGGGGGGAGGCCCCATTCCTGGAAGGGGTGGAGGTGGCGGAGGAGGTGGAGGTGCCTGACCAGGAAGAGGAGGTGGGGGAGGAGGGGGAGGTACAGCAACGGTAGCCGCACCCGGTACAGGTCCAGATGGGGGCTGAGAGGGAGGAAAAGCTAGGTGGCCCGGGAGAGGCGGAGGAGGTGGAGGGGGAGGAGGAGGAGGCAGACCAGGTGTTGGCACGGGAACAGTAACTGTAACAACCTTAGTTTTGGCCTCCTCCAGATCCTTTGACAGTTTTTCAATCTGTAGGCAGATAAGCATGAAAAGAAGCATCATTAACACATAGCATAAACAATACTCCCTGCCTGGGAGTATTGTTTATATAAGAGAGGAATCCGTTTTTTATTGTGCTAGAGCTAAAACACCAGACTGGATCTATGAAAATCATTTGACTCTCCACTAAGTTTTCAGAGCATTCCATGGAGTTTAGACTAATAAGAAAAACTATAAAGAAGTTGTCTTATATTGCTCAATGAGAAGCAGCCCATCAGATCCCAGGGTTTCTATGGTAGCAGCCTCCTTGACTTTAGATGTGTGAAAGTTTAAATGAATTCATTGCATCCTACAGTGCAGCAACATGAAATAATTGATTAAATCATTAAATAATAATATCAAAATTGTATATATCAAAATTAAATCATTAAATTTAATTGATTATATACTTGAAATAAATTCTCTATTTCCAGTTTTAACAAATAATGGCATATTTGAATAAACATATCACAAGATATTTTTTTATTTTGTTGTGGCACCAATCACCATCCAAAAATATATCAGACAGACCAGAATCAATAAGAAAAATAATTAAAATGATAAAAAAAAAAAACAGATGGAGAGGCCATCTTTTGTAAAAAAAAAAAAAAAAAAAAAAAAAAAAAAAAAAAAAAAAAAAATCAAAGTGCCTTTAAGGGTTTGCATTGCATCATTTACTTCTTGTTTCATACATGTTTAGGTTTAAGGTCAGATTAAATGTGAAAAAAGCTGTCAAATAGTCTTGTCTAATTTCCTTCAGAAAAACCTGGAATATACACAGTTGTCCTAGGTTTCTATTGTTTTCTATTGCACAAATGTTAAATGCAGAGGAAACCACAATAAAAAATACTAAAATTATGTCTTTATTCTATGTAGTAGAATCTGGTTAAAGGCAGTGCAGAATATGAAGATGATGTCTACGTCCCTGTCTTTTAAAGCCAAGAACTGCAGCCAGACTTAAATTCTAAATTGTATTTTGTGTATTTTCTTTACAGGACAGGAAGACATTAAGGCCCTGACAAAGACCCCTGAAACCATTTTGTTCCATTTCATCCTTGCGAAAAGCATTTTCCAAATAAATAGAATAACTAAGTGGAAAAAAAGGAGAACAAAAGAAGTAAAGTGAATATAGCCTAAAAAAGATTTAGCATTATGAAGAAAAGAGATGGAAGTAAGAATTTAAGTTCCAAAGGAAATTCAAAAGAAAAAGTTTTAAAAGTAGAGGATAAAGTTCTAAATTAGAAGCGAGTCTGTAATGAATTTTTCATTTCCATACTAAAGTACAGATTACAGTATTTACATCAGTAGCTGCCAAATTTTGGGAAAAGTGTCCAAGTCATTAAAGTCAGTCAGCTAATAAAAGCTAGTCAGCTTTTGAATATTGATATACCAAACACGATTTAGAGCCTAGTGCACACCAAAAAGCTAATTTCCTCTATGCGCCTTCCTGTATTTGGAGTGAAAACATTGCGTGTGTGCATGCGTGCGTACATGCAGGCGTCTGAAACCCTGTCCGTGTGCAGCAGTGTAACAAATTGTCTGCCTTGTTTCCTCAGACTTTGAAAAGAAGACGGTAACAGACAGAGGGAGCCCTTCAAGGCAGGTTTCTTTAGTCCAGCAGCAGATGTAGGACTGGGCACTGCATCATAAGAGAGATCTCTACATGTGGAGAAATCTTCCATCGGCAGCGCCTCAAACACAGAACGCGAGCCATCTTCGTATGAGAAGCTTGTTTGATGCCTGGCTCGTGGTGCTGCTGACTCTTTGGACAACTGTCTGTTTATGTTTGTTTGGAGCCTCTGTTTGATGAGAAGTTGACTCTGCTGGCGTCAGCTGCTGTGGATGAAGCTCATGTTGCAAGTTGGGTAGTTGTCCAAACGGAACACACACACACAGAACCATCTTCATAAAGTTAACGAGCACACGTGCTCAGAGGCAGACGGTTCTGGGTCACTTGGTGTGTTTGTGAGTTTGTTTGTCACTATGAGGCAGAGTCCAGCTGGTGTGGCAGCAGGACACTGACAGCTAAACAATCCTCATCTTTGCCTCCCCATGAATGAATACACAAAGACACACAAACTGCATGTGTATCTTGGCCTTAGAAAATATGTCTGTCCTCACGCCATCGTGGGTTTTTTTCTTCTCGTTTTAGTCTCTCCGAATGTCTCGCTTTTTATCATTTATAAGGATCCCTAATCTGTAAGGAATTTGGCAGGCTCCTGCAATATCCTTTCATTTTTCTTCCCTTCATTTGCTGCGTTTCAAAAAATCAACTTTGCATACCAGGCTCCAGTCTTAACGCGAGTATTCTCTAGTTTCAGCAAAATGAAAGATTGTGTTTTTCAGCATCTTTAAGTACCTAATGTCATAAAGATGCATAGTTATTTGCATATTTGTAGAACATGCTATTAAAACCTGTATACATCAAGTTCATGTTCTTTGATGCCACACTGATGAAAAAATACATGTTATAAAGCTTCCTTATAAGATTTAAAATTGGCTCTTTAAATATCAAAAAGACTTTCCTGGTTAAACAAAACAAAACATTGGGTTGGGTTTATGTGTACCTGGTTTTGCAAAGAGCCTAGCTGTTCCTGCAGACTTTGGTTCTCCTTTTCTCGCTCCAGTTTAGCAGAGGCCAGCTGTTCTTTCTCTTGGCACATGTCCTGCAGCTTCTGGTCATAATCACCCTCCAGTTTCTTCATCTCCACCTGCAGCTCTTGGCGCGTCGTCAGCTCCGCATTCAGCTGATATGTATTTAAGTCATGGTTAGAGACAACAAATATTTAGTATACTGGAAAAGAAAAATAGTGTGAAAAAGTACCCGTGTCGTATTTGTAATTTGTTGTCACCAGGTGTTATCGGGAGAAAAACGCATTTCTCCTTCATTTCATGAGGACACTCAGAAAAAGGTCACTAAACCCTCTGGGCTGAACAGAAATAATGACTATTCAAATTGTTAATCTGAATGTGTTTGCTACTTTAAAATGCAATTAGGGAAATGTTTTCTGGAATTTAATGAACCCAGTAATGTTTGTAATTACACTCGTTTGTACAAAATACAACATGGGACTCCAAAAGAAATTAGGATTCCATTACAGCCCCCCACCACAAATGTACTTAAACCCCTTAAAAATCTTCACTTAGGTTACAACCACAGACTTTATTTTATTGGGCCTTGAGATATATATATATATATATCCACACAGTAACATATGAATGTGATATTCCAACTTTGATATGATTAGGTAAGATTATCTAAAAACCGGTATGCATGCATATTCAGCCCCATCAAGTCAGATACCCCTAAATGCAGGGAGTATAAAAAGTTATCTAAATACACTTAATTCAGAAGACATAGCTGATGTTTGATTTAATGCATATTTTCAGCTGTTCTCTCAGTTTGTTAGACAATATGAATAAATCACATCATTAATGCTAAACTGTTTGTAACTGTATAGCTCTGAGGACCTCAAAGTGCTTTACACTAACCAGGTGTCAATGCAATCGTAACACCAGGTCCTCTGACCATCAACACCAGACAAGGAGGGTGAAGTGTCTGTCCAAAAGGCGCAATGACTGCGACCGACAGAGGAGCAACCCACTGGCTACAGACATACAACTACATCCTGAGCCACAGTTTGAACGCAGCACACCGTTTCAATTTTAGCTTTTTTTCTAGAGGAGAAAAAACGGTATTCTAAACCTCTCTTAAGTCCCTTTTTGTTGCAGCCAGAACTCATATCCATTATCCCAAACTGGAAAACACAAAACATATGGACACCTACTAAGAATTATCAGAGCATAAAATTACTTTAAAAGTTGCAAAGAGGACCATAGTTACTCCAGGGGAGCTCAAGAAAACATCTCCATTGGGGAAATCTGCTGACAGCTGAACAATTTAGAAAAAAACTTTAAAGTTCCCTCTGCCCTTCACCACAAGCCTTGAGGTGGTCAGAGCAACCAGGTGAGAATGGCTGATCTGGTCAGATGAAAACAGAAATTGAGTCTGTGGGCTACATGCAAAACTCTGTAAGAGAGAAAACAAAACCCTAAAGATCGCCAAACACCAAAATAAAACATTGGCTGCAGCTTCCTGCTGTGAGGATGTTTTTATTTAGCAGCCAAAGGGTTAGCTGGTCAGAGATGATAGGATGGGGCCAAATGTAGAGGGAAACCTGTCATTCCAGAGGGGAAATGACCCTACACATACAGCCAGGTTAAAACAGAATGGCTTAACTGAAAGCATTTTAAAATGGCTGAGTCAAAGTATAGAACTAAAAAGCAATGAGAACCATTTGAATGGGGAAACAAAGCTCAGTCTGTGTACAGCTGATTTAGACATACCCTCAAGGATTTGCAGCTGTGCTTGCTGAAAGAAAATCTAGATTTTATGACCAATTCTACATTTTCTTCCATTTCACATCTGTTTTTTACATCGCATAAGGCTAACCACAAAAAGATCCAATAAAAAAAAAGTTAGTGGTTATAACCTGTCAGAACATACAAATGAAATGACTAAGTATGCCTGCAAAACAAAAGCTGGTTGAAAATGAAAAGGAAATGCCATGAGACTAATATTAAGTAATAACCTTTTGAGTCAACTAAAGTTTATATCAAAAGTTTATATCATTTTGAAAATGTCAAAAGAGAAGTAAAATTTTTGATTTTGTTTATAGAGGCAGCCGCTCTTACATCTTTGGTTCTCTAAGAAGCTGTTGAAGCTTTCTGAGAATTTCTTGCAGTTTAATTCTTTTGTTTTGTACAATAATTCTCTCTGAAAATTACAGGCAATTATAAAGTGAGGATGCCTGAATGCTTTCAAATGAGCGCTCTTGTTAGGGTTCCTCCACGCCTTCCCCTTCATTAAAAAAAAACATCTTAAAGGGTTTTTTTGTAATTTTCTCACTTATTTTAACACAATTTTGAAAATCATTTTCTCTTAGACACCTGACAAACAGGATAATATATATAAAAAAAAGAGAGCTGAACACATGAAGACACAGACACACACACAGCTGTTTAATTTGCGGAAAGCGGATCCGTTACTCTCGCTGTCAGCAGCCTGACAGCCTTATCCCTAATTCCTGCCAAAAGGGACTGCTTGCAATTACCCCATCATGCTCAACCAGCAATATGACGCGTGTGGTCCATGACAATTAGACTTCACAGAGCGCCTGCTTGCTTGGATATGCGTCTTGTCGATTGATATGATCCCACATGTAACTGTGTATTATGAATGAAGACTAGTTTTTAGCTTCTTCTTTGCAATTATCCTGTCACTGGGACAGAAGCATCACGTCAGCGACGAGCCACAATCAAGGCATTTACCCCCCTTGTGTGATCGAGTAAGCGTGTGTGTGCCCGTGTTTGTGCGTGCACTCGGCTGTCTGGGGGCTTTCAGGAGTGTAGATGCTCATTTTCAGTCAACATCCCTTTCTCACTTTTTGTCATTTTTCATCTTATGTCAGCCTGATGATAGCCAGCCAAAGATTCATTACAATACAATCAATTTAGTGAAGCTGAAGGACGTTTTAACAGTATTTATTCATCGTCTATATTCTGTTATGGGTTACATGACAACAAGCTGATAAGTTTGTTTCTTTTTATTTGCTTTCCATTTACCTCTCTATGCACATTAATTATCGTACAGTTAAGTAGAGATGAATGGACTGTACCTTCTTCTCCAGATCTGTTGCTTTGGCCTCACTGGCTTCCACTTTGGTCTTATCCACCATGTTGTCTATGGACAGAAACAGGTGGGGGGAGGAGAGAGAAACCAGAAGAGAGGTCAAAGATAAGATAATGATTTTGACGACACACTTCCATGCATCGAGCCTCGAAACCATTTTACCCTTCAGTGTGGTACAAGGATTGTGCACTCACATAAATTCACAGGATCGAGACCATCTGTCTTCCTATTGTCCCTTTTATCACAACACTTGGGAGTCAAGATCCATGAGGCGATTGTAGAGGCATCTCATTACAACAGGATCCTTTGTGTTCCACGCTGCTTTTACATATTACCTTTTAAGCCTTCAACACCACGCACCTTTGTTTTTCCCTTCATGCAGGATAAATGGCTGCTATGGGAGTTATGTATGATCAGATTTGCTTCTTAGCAGAGGACGGGGTGAGGAGGACACCTGATGACCAACAGGATGCCTTTGCAGCATAATTGCAGGTCAACAGGTGGCTCAGAGATGGTGATGGAGCTAATTAATATGAAGATAAATGCCACAATGTCACTGGATCAAAGGCAGCTTATGGAGTTTGAGGTGGGTGGAACGGAGGACAGTGAGGCTACGTGGCCACACTAAAAAAGAAAACTTCAAAAATCTATATGGTTAATTGGAGAGTAACTCATAAAGATGGAGGCGATAAAAGGAATATGCAGGAGTGGAACGGATTAAATGAAAAAAAATTTATGCTTCAGGGGAGGATAAGCTGAATGAAACCAAAGATCAAGACTAGATTTCCCACATAAAAACATTAACTTAAGATATGGATCTACATGCGATTTCAGGGTGTTTTTGTGTACAAGTTTACGTGGTTATTGGATGTGGATTTGGTGGTGGGGGAGAGGCTCATGGTAGCTAGGCTAAATGGGACAAACTTTGAATAGACAGCACAGAGGGAAACAGAATGTGGTGGAAAAAAAAACTGTGCTGAATTTTAGAGTTCAAAGAAAAACACTAAATAATGCATGCAGGGCAGAATTGGGCTGCTTTCCACCAATAATAACTCTGACAGGCTTAAAAGAGGCCAGCCAGCCTGCGTGTGTCGGGACGCATTTAGAAGCTGTGCAATTAGAGTCTCCTGCAGTGAGCAACAGAGACCCGGCATAAAGAGCGATGAACTCGTTAGATGTGGCCTGCACCTGCATTTGGCTTCATTTTAGCCACCTGCAGGCGCTGATCTTCAACAGCCGTCACTCAGGTTAGAGAAAATCTGTATTCAGACAAATGTTTACACCTATTTTTTTTCCCTTCTCAGGAAAATCCATGTTATATTTGTATTCAATGGAGAGTGACATGAAACAGATCTCACGGATCAGTGGCAATCACAAAGTCAACTTTAATCCCCTCCCCCGACACCTTCCTGATGGCGGATTAAGGTCCGTGTCCAACCATTTCAGTCTCCTCTAAAATCTGACAGCCATTCCCACATATTGCTGTGACTGACCAGCTTGTCAACCATGAATAACTGGTTTAAACCTTAAGCACATTTTTTTTTCAGTTAAGCGATCTGTGGCGCTTTTCAATCAGTAAACACTGTGGAGTAGTTTACTTTTCATCCTAAAGACATCCCTCCTTTAATGATAAAGCATCACCGCCATCTGTGGAAATGCTTTTCCGTTTATCTCTCAAAGAGGCTATATGGATCTGGTAGAAACATCCGAGGAAGCGAGTTCTACAAAGCAGTTTTGACACACCATAAATCAGTCCTAATACTTTGATTCCCAGAGAAAAGTGTGTGTCATGCCTGCAGCTGGAAGGGATGGTGTGCCCCGCAGACAAATGAAGATGGGCACTGCTGGCTGGGCTTTATTTATGCACTCTCCATCTCAGCATGCAAGCTAAAATACAACAGCAAAATGCTTTTGGATTTGTAGCGAATGGAAAAAGCGAGTTTTTAATCTATTCCTTCAAGAAAAATGTCTTTTGTACAATTTCCTTGTGTTGTTGAAACCTGTAGCACCATTCAGCCTATACTGATACCCACTCTCTGGCTCCACCTTGTGGTTTAACTAATGATCAATGCAACCTTATGAGTAAAAAATACAGCTACTTTTTCCATCAAAGAAGTTTATACCCAAGTATTTCTTTTGTGGTCTGTTGGTTTTCTGCCTTATTATTCAAAAGGTGAAGTGCATTCCAGTACTGGAGTAGGTGGAAAAATCTGGAAGCTAGTGTGTTCAGGGATGGAAAATCCAAGATCGTCAGAATGTTCTCACCTATCAAACCTTCGATGTCGAAGCTCAGCTTGCGGCACTTGAAGTCGGGGTCTGACCCATTCTTGTGCAGCACAATCTGAGCAATACATTCATCTATCAGCTTGTAGTACTGAGGCCTGTTAGGAGCAAGGAGACATGCATTTATCATTAGACACATTTTGAAAACTCTCTTTGAGCACTATTTTTTTACATTACTTTTCCCAGAGGTAATGTGTAAAATAAAGCAAACGTATGTCGTCAATGGCAACTGTTTTTTTTTAGGTCGTCAATAACAGAGGCTCTGACTCCGCTCAAGACAAATCATGTTAGGCTGCTCAGGAAAAATAGAATGTGTGAGCACACCTCCTCTGCTACTCTGTCTTTGAAACAGAGATTGGATGTCTGTGCGAGCAGGGCAGTTTGAGTTTCTTGTCACTAAGATTGATTGTGTGCAACTGCTTGTGCGAGAGCAGGCTGGTTTGGGTCCGGCGTCAAACGTCTGATCAAACCAGCTTCATGCAAGACACTCCATTTCAGAGGTGTCTTATTCCTTGACCCCATTAAATGCTGCCAGATTTAAAAAACTCAACACTATTTATTCTATTACTGGTCTCTCCTCTTACTTTGCTTTTGTTTCATGCTTATTTCGCTACTTCACTATACTTTAAATGTGTTTTTCTTTTTTCTTTTCTTCCTACAGCTGAGATTTATCCGTGGAGCGAGAGAGACATCTAGTGTATGAATAAAACTTTGTCCATAGATTTTGCCATTTTTAACTCATCTTGAGTACATTAAAATGTGCTAAAAATGACTTATTAGACCATCTGGTAAGGCATGGCTTTATTTCCATGCATAAGGAACTTATGGGATTCTTTAACCACACTAATGAAAGTCACTACACATATGCACTATGCAGATATAACTACAGAAACCATATATTGAGCTCTGATCCATTAAATTCCATTCTTACTGAGATACTTGAGACTGAACCAACCATGACAGAAGAAATGGGAGGTGGGTGGAATCAGCAGGTACTCCATGTAGCAATTTACCACTACTCTCCATTTTCCCTGGATTATTGTCTCACAGTCTGAGCCTCCGTTCTCCTTTCATCTCTGTATTAACAGAGCTGTACTTTGAGCCATTCTGAAGCCCTTTCTCCTCCTCCTGTTTTCTATACCTCTTTGGATCCCATTACAGACCACCTTTGCTGTACATCAGCTTAATAGAAAAACTTGTTAGAGACAACAGAAAAAAATAAATAAAATCAGCTTATTTTCCCGACCCAATCCTTTTTTTCAAATTAGCTTGCCCAGCTATCGATGACAGTTTTATGTCTAAACATCATTCAATGCACTGGAAAAACATCCAGTTTGCCCTATTGAAACAGGTCGTCTTATTGTTTTTTCTTTCTGTGCTTAGAAACAGGCTGCAAATCATTTTTAAATTAAAACACAGAAACACACAATGCTCAGTAAATAATAGTATTCTGCAGTGCTTTTGTCATTTAATCATTTCTTCCCCTTTCCTTCCTTTAAATAAAACTCCAAGGGGCTTTGGAGGACAAAGAGCGAGACATTAGCATATTTCTCCTGATAAGTGTGGATGGTGCTCAATTCCATTAAAATGAAACTGGACTTCTTTGCATTTATTAATTTCAGTCTCGATAAGACCCTCTTGAAAACAAACAGCAAATGGAGAAAACGGCTGGAATGAGGGAGATGTGAAAAAAACAAAACAAAATATAACATATTTTGAAATTCTCTCCATCTTGGTGACACTGACATTATTTCAGCAGCACACGGCTTCATTTCTACCAAAATATACTGTGATTTATTACCCACGTGATGAGTAATTGTTCTAAGCCCTGATCGAACTGGATCATTAATCATTTCCTTTTAATACACTGACTCTGGTCTAAAGGTGCATCTTTATACATTATTTTACTGAAGGGAATTTATTTGACCAATTAGACAAATGCAACTCATTATTTACAGAGAGGTTAATCTGTGCTTTATCAATGATATACTGATGGCGTACGGTTGATGCAAAACACATTTTCCCTAAAAAAAAAAAATATTTTTTTCAGTAAAGATTGTGATGGCTTGTGAAAGAGGAGTCCATGTACTATGGAGATCATAAACTGTATCATTCCTATAGGCTCCTATAGACCGGAACAACAGCATCTATTCAGTGGGGTATAGAGATAATCAGCCTGAGCTCTGCTGAGGTAATGAGGATCACCAGGCTGCTGAATTCATCCAGTTCATTGTTTGTGACTCGCCTTCCTCCTGAAATATTTATTGAGGTTAAACTTGCTATTAAATCAGTGGAGCAACACCATGGTCCACAAAGCTCTTTTTTTTCCCCCTTTTTTCCAACTTTTATTGTCATCACACTATCACAAGTACAGAGCAATGAAATCAACTCTCTGCATTTAACCCATCTCCTTGGGGGGCAGTGGGCTGCCATTGTGCGGCGCCCGGGAAGCACTGTAGGGTTAAGGGTCTTTTGCTAAGGGACCCAGAGTGGCAGTCTGTGGGAGTGGGGCTCGATCTCAGAACCTTGGTTTCAAAGCTCTATGCCCTTACCACTAGGCCGCCACTCCCCTTGCACCACTAGTAATAAGAGTTTTCCAAGTCCTTCGAAAATGAAGTGAACAGTGGATCATTATCAGCTGAAGCTCCAGCAATAATCAGAGACTATTTACATCATTGTGAAATGACTCTTTTTCCAGACTCTGAGGTCTTGTTTTTACAAATAAATTCACTTTAAGAGAGAACCTGAGGATAACTGGATAACTCTTAAGGCAGTCATCAGGCTTTTTCATCATTACCTAATTTATACGATGAATACAACATAACACCAGTTTAAAATATATTTGTTTTCCACAATAATATTCAATTTCTGAAAAAGATTTAATTGTGCATTTTTATCTGTAAATTATAATCAGCAAATTGAAAGAAATGCATGAAATAAATCACTATGTGTAGTTAATTTAAAAGTGATGCAAGTTCCTTCTGCTAATTAGGATTACTAAAGTAAATAAACATTACAATTATATTCTGATATTTTACTAACGTAGCTGTACATCTACAGTTTATGAAGTTAAGGATAACAGGTCTGTAATAATCGAGAAGGAACTACGTATGAGATCAAATTTGATTCCCATGGTAAAAATGTTTTTAGCATCATAAAGCCTTAAAGCTCACTTGAACTCAGAATGTGTTTTGCCTTCTACATTGTTCTCTATCCAAGGCCATCAAAGGATACTTGATTGGCCACTGGGTACATTCTGTCACCTGAACTTCCTAAACAGCACAAAAGCAAGATCAATACAGGAGAATAAGCTCCAGCTGATTATTATAGGTCTCCACTTTTTCTGCCTGTTATCTGGGGACAGTCATGAGTTAATTTATGTTTTTAAGAGGAAATGTCTGCCATTAAACCAGAGAGTCACAGCAAGTGCTGGTTACTAATATGCTTGATTTACATTAAAAACATACAACCATCATCATCCTTTAAGCTGTTAAACTGTGCCCTCAAATTATCTTCATAGAGTTTTTCAGCTCCAACTATAGATGAAGATTCACGAGTTAATCAGTCAGAGATAGATTTTTCATTGATCATCAATTGTCAGATCAAACACTGAAAAATATTTTTACCCTTTAAATGATAAATTAGAAAGTATTACACAACTATTAAGTGGAGAGAAATGAAACACCAGAGGAGCAAATAAAAACAATCTCATGTCTGCTGTGGATATTCTTTCTGTCCCCTACCTGCCCACAACTATATAATTCTACCAATAAACAACACACCTGTTGGTGATTTAAGCCATCAGGTTATCTAGAGCCCTTAAAGTCAGAACAGGGGTAGCGTTGAACATTTCTCAGAGCACTGTCTGAAAACAGAGTTTAGCTACAAGCCGCCTTCAGAGCTCTGGGTGGAGCATGTTAGCAGACAAACTTATACACTACCCTTTGAAAACTGGGCCGAGAACGGTCCGAATACGGTAACCGAGATAACTGTTGAGTGTAAATGCAAAGCAACTGAACTAGACCGTGCCAGACACAACCAAACCATGCTAAATCTAGTACTAGTTCAACATTAGGGCTCGGCAGGGTTCATCTGTGGCTCGGTTCTCTGATAACAAAGCAGCTGCATCATCTATTTACAGTCAGCTGACTCACTTGGCGTCTTTTCCAGCATGGCCTGCTTTGCAATTTACAGATCTCTTCACCTGTTCACAACACAAACTTCTTCTCAGCCCAGAGATGTAGTATTGTGGATCGCCAATAGGAGGCGAAGAACCGTGTAAATTGTAAAAAACTATGTGTAAATTATTGCAAGAACCAAGCTCAGCATGGTTAATTGATCAAAGCTCGGAGAACAGTTAACTCAACAAATGTCATCTTTGTATAAGGAATGTAGTGGTAAAAAGACCCATTTTATTATATTTATTTGGATAACTAACACTTAGAACAAGACTAACTAATGCTATGGCTACGAGTTAGTATTTCTGTCAGAATGTCCTGACATGGTAAGTTGACGCTAACAGACACACACCATTAAGTCTCACTGATTTTGAGCCATTTAGCAAAGAACTGAAAAGCAGTTAGAAACATACTTCCAACAACCTCTCTTTTGTAATCCCAAACAAAGACTGACTCAAAAGGGCTAAATAAACAACCTCTAGATCAGGGGTGCTCAAGTCCATTCCTCGAGAGCTACCATCCTGCAACTTTTTGATGCAACCATTTTTAATACACCTGAATCAAATGAGTTGCTCATTGCCATGTTTCTGCTGAGCTAAATGAGGAGATTGAGGTTTTAGATTCAGGTGTGCTAGAGAAGAGATGCATCCAAAAGTTACAGGATGGTAGCTCTTGAGGACTGGACTTGAGCACCCTTGCCTTAGACCATCATTGTTTAACTTCACTTCACAATTTAATACTTCCTGCTGTTCTATCACAAACAGCAATCTCCACTTTGTAAAATAAGCAAAACAAAACCTACAGGATATTAACCTTAAAAGAAAAAATATGCTTTTCCCAAAAAGCAGATATTCTGCTCAAATTACCCACACCAACCCAACATATGCAATATGAGCCACAATAAGTAACATGCATTTCTATTCATTTAAAATCGAGTCAGATGTAATATATAAATGTATAAGTAGCAATGACAGTATTGACACGAATCAGAGTGTGTATTGGATGAATTACCTGGCAAAATAATCATTACGGATCAGGAGCAGGTGCTGCATAAGAGACAGGAAGTGGTTCTCAGCCTTGGAATCCTTCACTGTGTTGACCAGGATCTCAAAAACATCCCTCACATCATTGAGGAAAGTTAAGTTAAGGCTCATAGGAGTTTATTAACTTGTATCCTTAAGGACAAACAACCATTCTGAAGGTTTTAGCCACTATTAAAACCTTACAATGGATTGTAAATGTTTATCAGGCACCAGCAGCACTGTTCCATCAAAAGGAGGCCAAGTTACACTAACTCCTAGGAGACACCTGGTGTTGAAAATCAAAACTGCAAGTCATCAGCAGTGCAATATTTATTCATTCAGTAAAATTCTCTCACAAAGGACATTTATTAAACAGTTTAAAAAAACATAATAGTGATAAGATTTATCTGTCATAACTGATTATGTTTCCAAACCTCAGAAACTGATAGGAGAATTTTGTTATTACTTTTAATATGTGAACCTTTATCCCTCTGCTGGTTTGTGGAATCATCAGTAAACAATCAGTATAATTTAAATCAGTTATTGCGTATTCAACTGGTGCTGTGAAAGCTAATTTAAAATAAAGTGTTTTGTGGTTTTGAGGTGCCAGACTGTATGACTAACAAAGAGATAATTCAGAGCTATTTTGAAACAAACCCTGAGGGTAGTGGGCTTATTTGCAGCCTGCAGCATTACCACTGCTAATATGATTAAGTCAACAAAATTGAATTTGTCAAAAGTAAACAACAAAAGTTATAAAAAGAAAACAACCAAGGAAGCATCAGGGCTGTTTAGCATAACTTTAAATCCTTCCTAGCAGCAAATATAAGTCCAAGCTTATTGCATGTTTAATATGCAGTTATAAACTGTAATTCTAGACTGGTTTGGTTTCCAAAGATCATTTTTGCACTGGTCAATTTCTTCCACAAAGGCAAACGTTTGCTCAAAGGAAGGATATTCCATTTCTATGCGGATGTCATCAAGACGTCCTTTCAGCTCCTCCGAGTCATCTTCGGCCTGCTCATCAAACACCATGAGTTGCACCTTTAGCTCTTCATTTTCTATCCCACGGAACTCCTGCGGGGAACAAGGGAAGGAAGAAGAAAGAAGAAAACAGGAGAATAACAGGAGGGGTGTCACAGTGCAGCATCTTTGACCTTGGACAGCTCAGATCGGTCATTTATTTATTTTTCGTTCATTTAGAGAAAATATATATGCACATCCAACCAGTGTAAAGATGTATATTTGATGTAATCTAATAGAGTTCCTAATTATTTACCCCCAGCTGCTCTCTTAGTCCCAGTCTTAGGAGTTCAGAGCGAATGTGGATTCTGAAGTCCAGTTCTTCTGCCCGGCTGATCAGAGCATTGATCAGCTGCATGCATGCACCCTGCAAAAAACACATCAAGTTAGCTTTACATAAAGTGGTTCCAATTAGCAATATTTAGCCTTCTTTAAGTCGATTGCATTGTTATTAAAAATACATATATCCATTAGGTATGCCACTATTTATTACAGAAATATAAGATGTTTAATGAGCACCAAAGTTCTTGTTCAGGTGTGAAACAGGCTCCATACCTTAAGAGGAATATGGGTGCTGTTCATCCCAGTCACAAGAGGCTGAAATCTCTCAGTGCCTCGTTTTTCAGCTTCTTCTGTAATGGCCTCCAAAACACGCTCATGACTTAAGGGGGGGAATGCATTTTAGAAAAGAGATTTCAACAATAAAAAGTACATGTTGCATAATTTTATAACTATCAACTCGACCTAGATATTAAAGTAGAGAGCTAAGTATCCTTACAGGTTTTCAGGATGCTCCAAAATACAGAGGGCAGAGAGCAGTTTGACAGCATCCACCATCATGGTTGCTACCTTGGGGTTGATGGCTCTGACCAGGAGATGAATTCCTTCTTCTGACCCCAACATTGATTTTAAACCATACTAACAGGAACCATGGGGAGAAACAAACACAAATTTAGAGAGGATTATGGTTTTTATCCCTGCAACAATCACATGAAATGTATTCTCTAGGAAAAAGATGAATTAATAGTCATTTGAAAAAGGCAACACTCAAAATTTCATTAGTCATCGAAAGGCTATTTGCATAGAAAATGGGTACTAAAATAAAAGAGCTAACGCCTTCTATCTTCGCTTATTATAATAACATGATACATTTAACCTGGAGTAGACCGCAAAACTTCAAACTTAAAATCACTTTGACTGCAAACACATAAACAAACCTATAGGGATGGCAATGCATTGAGGAACTTTAATGTATGCATATTATAAATATTTGTCTTATACCAGTTTTTATATTTTCTACCTTTATACAGCTCTATTGCTTTTATATCTTTAATATCAATTAAGAGAAAATGGTGTAGAATAAATCAGTTCACGTCTCATTAGAATTTATATGTAAAAAGAAAAATAACAGCTAATGGCTCTATAGGTGGTCAGGGTGCCATCTAGTGGCGTAAAATGTGTAGTGAATATAATTCTGATCTGGTAGTCATCACAAACAAGTCACACACTGAAGCTTTAAAGAAAACACTACAGATGAACTTTCTTACCATGTTGTTCATGAAGGCTTTCAGGCAGCGAATGATCTCATGCTGACATTTGACTCCAACATTTCTTGGTAGAATAAAAAGAGAATATAGAAACATTACAGTTAGCCGAATAGACTTGAAAACAAAACAAAACACCACAATATCATGTTTTCTGGGACTTACGGGTATTCGTCTTTCTCATCTTGAAGTCGTTTAAGTAGAGACAACAGCAGAGCGAGGCCCTCATCTCCAAAATTCTGCACCCAACTGAAGGGGACAATATAAAAGCAGGCGTTTATTAATTGTTTAATTTATCATCAAAATGGTTTCCTGTTTTCCATTTCTTATAAAATCATGGGTATTCTAAACAAAATGCTCCTATTTCTGTGTGAAAACCATCAGTCCTTTCAGCAGAAGCCATTTGCCATTCCTCAAAATCAAAATACAGGGACTTTTTCACTGAATGAAGGAAAGTAGCAGGGGCTTCACACAACAGTAATAAGCTGGACTGAGCCAAATGTAACAGACAGTGATCAGTCATAGAAACAATAGGGCTGTCCTGATCAGATATTGATATCACTAATCAGTTCAAAATCATCCAGAAAATCAATATCAGCCTGCATCTAAAATCTCAGATATAAGGAAGCTGATAAACACTCTGCTTCTAATTAAAGTTTATGCAACCCATTTAATAATAAATGGGTCAGTTATTCTCATACCCATCATTTTTAACTATTGTTCTCTGTTTAAATATATTGATCAAGCCTTTTCTAACAATCCAAACTAAAAAATATAACTTGGTCTTTTGTTGTATGGTTCAGTATTTAAAGATCTAATATCTGCATCATATCTTAAATGTCAATATTTCTGATATGATAGAGAGACTGCAGCTTTGAATATCAGGTCGATATTGACAAATATCACCCTGATACAATATCACATGAATCTTACATAGTTTTCTTACTCATGTTCCAGTGTTAAAAGTTAGAATAGATTTAATCAAGTGTTATCAGTCAAACAGTGAACAATAGTCAAAGATAACAGCTAATACTGGATAATAGCTAAGAACATCCCATATATTATATATTATGGGTTAGCATAAATTAAACCGAGATGAATGGAAGGGGTGTTTCTATCAACATGCTGGCATCATAGATTTCAGATGCAGGCTGATATAACCGGATATATGTCTTGAGCTGATTTCAGACTGATTTACAAAATCAATATCACATCAGACATTCATAAAAAGATCTATTTTTTTTTAACATCATCAAAGTGCACATAATTTTATATTAGGAAATATAATTTTTCCATCATGCTTAAAAAGTCTGGATGAGAAGGGTATTCACTGGTGCACCTTCAGTGTATTTAGAACAAATGAAGTCCTCTTGAAATTGATGCAAGCCAGAGAGCTCAGAAAAGCAGCAGAGACAGAAATGTTTACCATTTTGTTCAAATAATAGTTTTCATTTGCTTTAGTATACTAAAGATTTTAATTGGAAATCTGTGTATCTTGTTGGTAAACAAAATATTTAATACTGCTCTTTAGTAAATCTGTTTTAAAATATAAGTGTATATTAGTGATTTGTTAAATTTCCACATTACTAATACTATAAACTGTAAATATATAATATTTGTCCATAGAAATGAAATTTGTGCTTGCTTTGAATTTTAATTGGAAAAGTCTGAATGAAATGGCAAAAGCTAAAGACCAGTACATGTTAAAATTTGATTTAAAAGTGAGATTAATATTACATGTAGCATGGATAGAGATTTAACACCAAGAAGCTCCTAATTTGAGGAATCAAAGTGGTTCAGCCCCTCATAGACTGTATGTGTTACTCTACCTGACAGGATTGTTGTTGAGAGAGACCCTCAGTGATTCCAGACAGCCAAGCAGCTGTGTGTCTCTGTAGTCCATCCTTAACTCCTGGATGTACATCATTGCTGACTTGGACCTTTCCTTCTGATCTTGCCCCTAAAAACAAAAGAAATACAGACCATAAACTTTAAAATGTATTTTGACTTTTACCGTTACTGTTATATAGAAATAACCCAATTTTGTTACTTAGTGTTTTTATGTCTTCATCTGTAATTTATTTTTTATTTCTTTAATAACTAATTTTGATGTGAAATCCAGAGGAAATACGGACCAATGGCTGGGCTGTAAGAGGATATTTATTTTCCTTTCTACCGTAAGGATCACAATGTGGGTTTTTTTCATTTGGCCCCATCCATACAAAAGGAAATCGGAAAAGCTATATTGCGTGGAAAATCATTCAAAGCTAAAGGTGAAATCTTATTTAAAGGAGGTAAAGGATTTTTTTCTCAAGCTTTATTTCCCATTTGCAGTCCATATATTATTCTTTGTTAGATCAAAGGGATTTAGAAAGAAAATAATGACCAGGACAAGAAAGCAGAGACCACACTAGATGGATTTCACCAACATCTACTTTAAGCTAAAAAGGACAATTTTTGTAACCTGCATAAATAACTAAGTAATATTGTTTTGTTCGGCCATTTCAGTCTTTTTGACTTGGATTGAATTAGGTCCCAGTTCACTGAGAATTGTTCACCATCCATTTCACACAGCAATGCAATCAAGTTGTCCTCTGGAGTAGGTCATTCTAAAACCTTGATATTTTTCCTCTTTCTCCTTTGTTTTTACTGGATCTGTGGTGGATCTTGTAAGAACTCGTTTTATTTTCATGATGCTGGGTGATGCACAACCTAAAAATATAACAATGATGTTCTTGTGTCTTTGTCATGAAGCAAAGATAAATGCACAGTCGAAGCCAGGTGTGAACATATACAATAAATACTATCTTTTTTCCCATTGCTGTTGACGTCAAATTACATTATTTTACTGTTTAAGGTCAGTTAGGAAAACAGATTTAATTTAAAATAATATTTGTTTTCAACAACTTTCTTCCAATTTATAAGTTTGTTGGTATTTGAAAAACTGACCTATTTTATTTTGGCTATCCATCTGATGGCTTCCTCCTGATGGATGTGTTGAAACTCAGAAAGGACTGTAAGGCTGCTGTGCGCACACACGCACCCTCTCTACTTAGATAGATTGCATCAATTTGCTCATTATGGTTTTTATTTTCCAATATTTAAATCATATTGCTGTATTTTTTTCAGCAGAATACCCATAAAACTGCAATGGTCCGATTCAGGCTCTTCATATTTAGGATGTTGCTTTCCGGCTTGCAGATCACACATTTTTCTTCAAAACATAACAATTATTATAGTTGAAAACACTTCAAATTTACTTCTAAGAAATGTTTTAAGTGATAATATTTTGAGTGTAATCTGGCTTTTTAAGTCACTTTTAGAGAAATGGCATCTTCTGTCCGTTTGAGGACAGCATTTATCTCTGTGGAAACGACACCAGCTTCAGCAGGAAAACTTGGGCTTTTGTTCTGAGGTAGAAGCACAGATTTCAAAGTGCTTCTTCCTGCATAGTAAGTAGGCCGGGCATCCTCATGTTGTTTAATCGGCTTCCTGATATCTTTGGAATTGACTCATAAGACAAAGTCTTATAATAAACCAACTGATGCTCCTCTAGTCCACTCATAAAATATTCAGTTTGTCAACAGATCTGGATAATTTTTGGAGGACAAAGTCACCTTATTGTAGGTGTGGATTTAATGAAAGTTAAACAATTACTTTTGATATGAACCTCAAACAGGTGTAATAATAATAGTCTTTATTGGCCGGTTAAAACCAATAATCCCAATAAACATATTTTTTAATTGCAATGCTCTCTAGGATAATAAACAACTGGTACATTAACAGACTGCCTAAGCATCATCATTTCCTTCTAAATTAAAAGAGACCAACTATACTGTAGAACGTTCCAGTTGAAATAAACTCAAGTCCATTCTGCTCAGGAATTTCAAGAACAGCTGGAGAGAACTTGAGAGAAACATAATACAGTAGTTAAATCTTTGGCATCTAGTTTATTATATTTTACTCATTATATGGTATGGTCCTTTTCAAATACTTCTATGAATGTGTATTTTACTAGCAGGTTAAATACAACTATAGTGAGAGCCAATATACAACAGCGTTGTCTTATTTTTGTTTCTTTTTAAATCTGTTTTTTTTTTTTTTTTCTCGAGTTAAGATGTACGTTATAAAAATGTGTACCAATTAGGATGCCAGTTTTAAACTGAATGCAGTTGTGTTCTTTTCCCTTAGCTGTAGAGTGTATTCTAACTTTTGGAATTTTTTGTTCTCATGTTTTAATGTCTTGTACTTAACTTTAAGTTTTCATTACGCAATTTATTTTTTTGCTAATATATCTCAATTTCCCTACTCTGTGACAGTAAAGGATATTGCTATATTTGACATTACTATTGCTGCATTATCTGACATTTAAATACAATATATAGTTGCTAACTTTTTGGGCATCATGAAAAAAATCTACCTCAGATACAATAAATCCGTTGTTCTACCAAATATTATCTTTTTAAATATTCAAAACGGCTCACAAAAAGGAACACTGTATGATCAAATGTTTTACTTTTAACCGTCTTACTTCTATAAAGACAGCTACTTACAAAAAAATATTTTGCACATCTTAAAACGGAAGGTTTGCTATTTTATCAATTCAAGAAACCAAAGATTGCTAAACATAGATCATTTGAATTTGAATTAAAATGATTTCCAAGAAATGTTTATAGTAAAACCATGTCCACTGCTGCTCATGTGTTCAATGCCAGTGTCATGTTTTTCTTTTTACTACCTTTTATCCACTGGTCCTCCTTGGTGCTGACTCTAAATGTAACGTGTGGATTAAAATGCCGTCCTGTACTCTACCCGTGTAGTAAAGGTGCGCTCCATAAGGGACTGCTGAGTCCTTAACCAAAACGAACACCAACAGCAAAAGTATCACGCAACGGAGATCCATAGTGTAGCAGGGGGGCACAAAGAGTATCTCAAGCTGAGGATGAGCGAACAAGTATAGGTTTGTTTACAAAGCAGGCAGCTTCTTCTTCTACTACTAAAATATTCCTGCAAAATGAGACAGCTCTCTGCATGCTCAAATTATTTAATCTGAACTAACACTTGGTACATGTATACACATCATGATCGGATTGTTTAATTTAGTGTCCATGTAAACAGAGATTTTGAACTTTCCATCAACCAACATGTAGATCGAATCAGGGGAATTTAGCGTGTTAAAAAGTAGCTACTGTTAGTGTTTCCTTGGATTTGTTTATCTCCCTTTTTTCCTTAAATAGTGTAACATTTTTGATCAGTGTGTCATTTTTATCATGAGAATCGACAAATAACAAGGAATATCAGCTTCAAGAATTACCCCCCCCCACCCCCAAAAAAAGAAGAGTGAGACTGATGTAAAAATAATCAGCCATACAAACATGTATGTCGCTTCCTACATCACACTAAAGGATGGAAATAGAGGATATATCAGCCCATCCTCACTATAACTTAGACATCAGCTAGTTCATATTCATCTATTTAGTTTCTTACTTACAGCTTTAGAGGTGTGGAGGTACTGAGAGACCATCTCTCGTTTAATCGCTATGTCTTTTTCCCTCAGTGGCTGCTGCTTCTCCTCATTCAGGTTCATGTCCACCTTAGAAAAAAAAGGGAAGATTAAAGTAAAGCAAAATCTATTTTTGTTAAATATGAAAAAAAAATAAAAATAAATCATACAACAAATTTTAACAAAATATTTTACTTTCAAGCTCATTTTTGTGTATTCTCACATCCTGGTTTTGGAAATAAAATCATCTTTAAGTGTCAAAGAATTTATAGACTCTGACCAAATTTAAAAGGAGCCTAAAATGACTGAATCTGTGTTCATAAACTTGTTTCATGATCTACTAGCTTCTTAAAGGAGATTTTTCCTTTGGAGCATATTATTACGGCCTGGGATTTTAACTTCAGAGCTACAGGAGTAGATTTCAGATTAGATCAAGTTTAGGAGCAGCCAAACATTTTAAAGCAATAATCTTCTTTTAAATGTGTTTACAATCAATTTCAAATAAAAAGTTCTTTGACGCATATTCTACAAGAAGATGTCAGGGGCTGTATTAAGGTTCACCCCTAACAATGGTGCAAAACAAAAACATACCAACTATGGAAATTATTTAAAAACATTGGAACTAAACCTTTTTTTTTCTGGAAAAAAAATAAAACACCAGAAAACTGATGTGTACAGTAAATGCTGTCAAAACTATGTTAAAGTTATGAAGATCATCTTAGATAAAGGCTCTTTGAACTTGGAGTGATTCAATAGGTGTGAGGATTACAGATTTACCAAGCTGCACATGCAAGATAATGACCAGTGTCAGACTCCTTAAAGGGTGAACTGTTCCCCAGAAAGCTCTTCTTTTCTCACCAGCATCTTTTCGAAGAGCGCCAGGATATCTTCATCACTTTGTTCAAGGAGCATTGCGTGCTGAGGTGTGATCTCGTAGCTGGCAGCTGAAGAGTGCCGCTGACTTGGGAGAGGCTTTTCCTTGTCCTTTTTAATTCTCATACTGGTGAGACGCTCCAACTGGGATGGTGAACAACATAAGAAGGGTTAGAGAACATAGCCAAGAAAGGAAGAGAGGGATTTACTGAACAAAATTTAAGCCCCACTCTCCTTTTAAAGAAGAGGGACAATGTCAAAGTTCACCAGGTGTTTAATGCAGATGGATTGTTTGTTTAGTGTGCAGATCTGACAATAGCCCCTTTTAGACTTTCAGCTCAATGCAAAAAATGTTAAATCTAAATGAGATAACTAAATAAAACACTTATCAACCTTGCTGCAAATGAAAAGGTTGGTCTTTTAACATAAATATGCCAAATCTTTATTCTCAGTCCAGATTTTCTCAGCCTATTTACTTAAAATGTATCAATGCCGACTGTTTGAAACATTTTGCAGCATGTTTTAGACAAAATATCAAAATCAAACTGGAATGAGACCAACTCAGCATATATTTAGTTATCACACAAACCAAAAGTTTAACATTAGAGGCTTCAATAAAGCAACCAACACTGAGAGTCTAAAAGGGGCTAAGATCTTCAAAAAGCATGCTTTAGCAAAATGTGACAATTGTTAGGAGTGACAGACATTTTTGCACAAAGCAACGCAAAACAAAGTAAACCGAGTGGGAGATTAGACAAGTTTAAGGGTTTGATGCTTTGTGATATCTTTGTGAATACTGCCAGGACATGGACTGTGTAATGACATAATGGAAAACACACAAACGTGGGGAAAAAAATGTGAGCTTAGAAAAACAGGAGGTCTTGGCACAAAGATGTTGTGACCCTGTAAAATTAACCATTCTATGTGTTCTATATCTATGCTTTCAGGGCTTTTTAATGATGTTATACACATTCAAGTTAAACACAAAACAAAAACACACAGAGTCAGTGCTTGTTATGGTTAACTGGGTCTCTGACAGACAGCAGCTGTTGAGTCAAGCAGAGGTGATGGTAAAACACACGGCAGAAAACCTACCTCATCAGGAATCAGCCGTTTGAGATTCTGCAGATCAGATTAAAGATTGCAAAGAAAGGAACGAAAAGGAATAAGAAAATTCCAAAATGATAGAAAAACAGCAATAAGGAGGAGAGGGAGAAAAAAAAAAAAAAGAAATCCATTAGACAGAAATTATATGACAGGTAAGCACTCCCGGAAACTATGCAGAGTTGAGTAATAAATTATTCAGAAACAAATCAAATGAATTGGTCGGAACATTTTGTCTAGTGATGAGGATATTTAAGACTCTATATTAGGGTTCACACATTTTATGTTAAGGTTAAAAAAAGTATTTTTTTCATAAAAAAAAAAGAGAGAAAGATTTAACTAGGAATAGTATATCTAAGCCACTAGGTGTCAGTATGCAACTAAAAATGCTTGAAAGGGAGGATAACTAGATGACAAAAACAAAAGGAACACATGTATCCAACCTTCACCAAATAAATACTGTGTACACAAAATAAAATGCTCATATTGGTGCAAACAAAGAATGAACAATATAATCAGGTGTAGGTCAAATATACACGAAATGTAGTTAGAAAATTTGCAAAGAATTTTTATTAAGTACAAAGGTCCTGAAAAAAATGTCAACAGAAGACTGAAACCATTAGAAAACATACTTCTACTTCATATTTAAACAAGAAATGTGAAGCTGATGGGTAATCATTTGGTGGTATATTTCCTTGTATTTAATGGCTTATTTTTTTTATGTTGGGTCTAATGGAAGTTAAAATCTTATTCCAATATGTTTAGTTTTTTGTCAAAAGAAAAATGAATAACTGAGGGGGAATATAATCCAAATTGGAAGTGATCCAATTCCAAACAAGTATATAATAATAAAAATAAAAAATAAAAATCACTGGACTTTGTTTTCAAAGTTTTGAAGACTTTTTTCTAATTGAAAATGTCAGAATTAGCATTGAGATAAAAGCTTTATAGAGTAGCCCAAACAAAGCCTTTTTTTGGGCCACTCGAAACGTCTTCATAACTTGGAAACGAAGTCCAGTGGATTGTTTTTTAACTTTTCTGGAATGACTATGATCCGGATGACAGAATCTTCCCCAGCGAGTGATCCAATTTCTTTTCAGATAAGTTCTGCTTGGTTCCGTATGAAGGGAATATTTCAGTCAGGGACTAAGAATACTGAACTATTCAATCCTACAAATGATTAGGTTGTGTTCAGGAAAACCTGTCTTAACAACACCTACACTACATCATGGCATTAAGAAAATAGAGACAGCAGTGAGGGGAGATCAAATGAATTGCATGTCCTTAGGTTGTTATAATTTCACACCAACATGTTTGTATAGGCCATCAAGAATGGAAAAATTCTAATCAAGACAGGGTTTAAAATTTCAAAGAATTTTAGCAACATGTTTCAACTTGTTTCACTGAATAATTGAAAACCTATGTGTCACACCCCTGGAAAACTTTGGTCCAATAAGAGCCCGAACAGGAAGTTGTGCGAGATGCTCTTGAGCAAGGACCCTAACCCTAAGTTTCCACGCAATACAGTTGTGCTTGAAAGTTTGCAAAAAATATAAATACAAAAAAATCATAGATTTTTTTTTATTATTTAAAAAGAATAATAAAAATTTAAAATCTATATTTTATTTTACTTAATTTTCATTTAGTAAATGTTTATTTATTAACACTTCTTTAGTTTTGTTTTATTTGAACTACTAGTGTGAATTAATAGTTTTACTTAATGGGAGGGTATATAAACGTTCAATCACAACAGTATCTGTGCCTCACAGTATGGATGTGTGCTTTTTAAAAATGTGACTGTGTGAATGTGGCTGTAATTTGAAATTGTGTGTTCGTTGTGACTAGAAAAGCTCTGCTCTACCTTTTACACAAGTATGACCAAGTTTGTCAGAAGGGACGAGGACAAGAGCTTAAAACAGATTATAATGAGATTCAATTAGAAGGATTTTTAGAATAGAATAGAAAAATCTGTTTTTTGTCCCACTATGAGGAAATTGTGTTACAGCAGCAATACCATTACAGCAAAAGTGGTCACACAGATGTGGACCTTAAAAAGTGTATAAAAATAACAGAATTAAAAAAAAGGATGTTTTTAAATATATACTGAGTTTAATCATTTAGAATTCAAATGTTAGGTATAGCAGCTATACTTTTAGAGGAAATTATTGGTACCACTTTACATTACAGATGACTTTCGATCCAATATATAGTTAACAGATTAGGGTCATGATTTGGTAGGAAACTGATAGATTGGTCTCTTGTTTCCCTTTAATACATAATAGACGCCTTATAAATTAGTTATTAAGTGTTTAATGATTAATTAATAACACATCTATATACAATTTATTATGTATATGGCTGCAAGTAAAGATTATTTTGCAAATCGATTAATTTGTCGATTATTTTTTCGATTAATCAATCAATAATCAGATAGCAAAAGATTCCTTAAAGAAGAATTTGTTTGAAAACCAGGTGAAACGAGAACTTTTCCAATTGAGGAGTACTGGATAGAGCATAATACCGGAGGAAAAAGATTTTTATCTTAAATGCAAAACATTTACATCTTTTTTTTACAATCTTGGTATAATCACTGCTCTAAGTGGGTGGCTCTGTCAGCTACAGTCTCTATACTCCAGTTATGATTAATCAATTACTTTTAGTTGACGATTATTTCAATAATTGATTAATCAGTTTCAGCACTAATTAGCTATCTATAAGAGAAGCTTTACTGTTAAGCAGTAATAAATTAATGAAAGTCGGTTTGAAAATGTCTATCATTTCAGGTCGCGATGATGTCACTGGGTTTGTGAAGGAATCTACAGCCATACAGAGAAACAAATAATTAAACTGGAAAAAAAGGAGGTAAAAAAATTCCTGAAAATGATTTTTTAAAAATTAAGTCACAATTTTGTTGAAATTGCTCAAGTCAAACAACATATGACCCATAATTGATTTTATGGCATTCCATGAGACAAAACCCTTCTCTTCAGTAAATATAAAAATCCCTTCAATTAACAGTATTGTTCTGTTTTCTTGAAAAGGGGATTTTCCTTTAACAGAAACCCCCATAAAGTGGGGTTTTCAGATAACAGAGTGGGAAGAGAAAGAAGGTGGGGATATCATGTTTATAGGGGAAGGATTTTAAAGAAAGATGCTTCCTGTCTGACAGCAGTCATCAGATAATCCCCCTTACACCTGATAAACATGAACACCATATCAAACGTCTCAAACAGATGAAAATCAAACCTGTGGTGCAATGGTGCCCACACAACGGATATACACTTCTACCAGCAGAGTGGATTCTGGGTAGGGGGTGAAACTAGCTAGACAAATAAACTGCCAACTTCTGCATTGTAAACCACATCATATTTTATGCACTGATAATTAAACCAAAATAATCTCTATGCAAGGCAACCCTAAATGTAAAATGCTTAACAATAACCTCTTAGAAAAGATTTAGAACTGACAAAGGCTCTGAATAACATTAGCATTGTTTGTAGACAAACATTTCTTATCAAATACCTATTAAATACAAACAAAAATCTATCAATTTAATGGACTGGTAGATTCTAGCAGACTTGCTATCATGATCTTTGCTGTCAGAGCTGTTTTCTGAACAAATTAGGCTTCGATAGAAGGTGCTATTGCTAGCTTAATTTGCAGGATGTGTTTCTAAATAAAATAGGCTGGTCTAATTGTTCTGACAGCACAATAACTACTACATAGCAACATTATAAAACCTTAAATGAGGGATGGTGATTTTATATTATCTGCTCCATTAAATAGCAGCTGGTTACAACGGTTAACAGTGATCTAAAACTAAAAAAACTTAACATTTCTCCACAGAAGTGACTCCACTGATGCTTATATTGCAACTTATTGGTCCCACTAATGTTTAAAGACCATAAAGTGGACAAACTGCACATTTATAACCTGGGTGAAAATAAATGAAGCATAAAAATCATTCGTCGGATTATATATAACAAGTCATTTCCCCCAATAAAGTGAAGAATAATGGTACAACCCTCTCTCTGTAGCATACTGCTGCTCTTCCTAACTGATAGTTAGAGACAGTGGTTTCCTGCAGCTTTATCGCTCCCTTTCTAGACAGGACTGTCAGTCTCTCTCCTTTTAGTGGTGTTCTTCACACTGCTTCCTCAAAAGTTACTGAAAGGCCAGTTCAAGAAGAGATAATAGCCTTGTTTCTAAAAACAGAGGCAATAATGGCTCCTCAATGACTACTAGCCACTCTCTCAGTAGGGCTGCATGATATTAGGGGAAACGTGATGCAAAAACAAATTTGTCAATGTCGCAACAAAGACATGACTTTATAGTTATAACAGAATGATGATGTTTTTTTTGTTTTGGGTTGCATCAGGCAATGGGTGCAGCAATCAAATTCAATTATGCGCCCTTCTATGAAGACCAAAGCCTTTCAGAAAAAACAACAACAACAAAACAATTAATTACAATGATCTTTGTAGCAATAAAAAAAAAAAAAAAAAACATTAATTCAAAAGACAGCTTGATCAAACTTCAACATTTCTCCTATAACATTATTTCAGGGTTAATTTGTGTCAAAAAATAATTATAATAATAAAAGTTCACACTTAAAGCCAAAACCTAATGAGGTTTTTACAGCTTTATATGATAATAACCCCAACAGAGCATCATGGAAACATCATGATGATGAAAAATAAAGGGAAGGGTTTGAGAAATGCAGCTTGTTGACATACATTGTGTTTATAAAATAAACAATGACAACAAGGTGACATTTTTCCTGCAGTCTTTAAGCCCCGTTACAAACAAGAAACACAAGTAATTCCGATTGCTCCACTTTGGAAGTTCAAATATCGATGAGTAGAATCAGACCAAGTTTTATTTCTAATTCATGAAAAAAAAATATTTAGAAACAAAGCTAGTTATTTAGCTGATCTGTCTGGGTTACCATGGCTACGAACTTGGTGTGTTTAGGGAAGCAGTGTTGTGACAGGCACACCCAGTCACAGCTACCGTTT